GCTATCGAGATTTTCTAATGAATTTTATCACTTTTAACGTGATAGCGCCTAGTACTTTCTTCTAATTTTTGTATGAGTATCTGTAACAAATTGGGTAATAAATCCAAAGTTAAACATTCATATTGCTGAAGTTTCATTTTTGACCCCCTCCTTACACCGCATGAACGTATGAAGGCAACATCCAGCCACCTTCGCTGATAGTATAATCAAAGTATAATCATCTAAAATGGAGACTTTAGCTAGTAATTTGCAGTTCCCGGGTATGCCCAAAAGCCCGTACAATTTATACACGCACTGAAACGGATAAAGTTCCTCAAAACTTGCAACGTCCCACATCCGACGAGCGTTTGCGTACCAATTAATGTGACGGCTCATGAAATCCTGACAAAAATCTTGTTTCTTTATGAAGGAATTTTCACATATCATTCCTTTCGTTCCAAGGACAATCAAGAAACGATTTTCAAGTAATCTTTATTAAGTGGATAGGTTTGTAGTAAGATGAAAGTTAGTCCTAAATCGTTCATTTTCAATTGGTGCTGTTCGATATTGAATATAGTTGGTTTCGACCGCATACAATTGCAATACTCTGATAAATAATATACTTATGCTCAATTTTGTTAGGGTTTGTCTTTAAGTAAACTGATATTCACTCAGTGCTTCTCTGATGGAGCTTCAATGACTTAGAAGATCTATCACACATTGTTGATTCTGGATTTTGTTATCTACTTATACGTTAATTCATGCTGCGACGGCTCGGTGGTTCGTCGAGCATTCTGTGGAGGCCGAAGAATCCGCATTCATTGGAATATCTCAAGTAAGAGTTCCCTTGCTTCCATGAAGTCGTTACGTAAGTACTTCTGATACCTTATTATCTTGAATAATAGGATACGCTTATAATTAGAGACGTTTTATATATTGAAGGCAAGTATTTTTTTTTCAATCAGGCAGTACTTGTAAACATATCACAGAGCAAATACCATATCTTAGATTCAAGCTCGCATTGCAAAGCAACAACCTTTTGTTGTGATAGGTCGCTTTGCAATTAGCAGATTGTATACCTGTGAAAGTAAACAAGTTCAACTTCAGCAGCGATATCATTTGTTTGTTAGAGTGAACGGTTTTGCAAGCAAGACTAAGATGTAACTGAGTAAGGAAAAACAAACCTTTTTATTTGTTTATTTTTTCCGATACGTAGCTGTGCGTTTGAGTACTCTTCGAGCAATCATCAGCTCTACAGCAAAAATGCTTTGAAAGTTCTTTGGTTATCTGTTTATCTTCAGATACTTGCACGGTGTGCTGGTCAAAAATGACAAGGTGGTGGAAGGCAATAGAAAAGTGTTAGTGGAAGCTCTTCGTGCCATCGCTGAGATCCTCATCTGGGGCGATCAAAATGACAGCAAAGTTTTTGAGTAAGATTTATCTTTTTCCAGTCGAGTCCATCTTTACATGCAGTTTTTGATGAGGGACTCTCACAAACGTTAAGGAAAAAATTTCACTTTCAGATCCTTTTTTTTTGTTAAAAAAACATTGACTTTTTATTTTTCTTGTTTAGATCTCGTTCTAGATATTGAAGCTTTCTTATTGAGCTTTCATTGAATGTAAGCTGCAGGTTTTCAAAAATGCACAAATGATGTGATTTTCAGCTTTTTCTTAGAA